ACGGAGAGGCAGTGGAGCAGGTGGAGAAGTTCAAGTACCTCGGAACTGTATTTATTAGTGATGGAAAATTTGAGTATGAGATCGACTTTCGAATTGGAGTAGCCAGTGTCGTTCTGCGTGAACTAGCCCGATCGATTGTGACTAAAACAGAGATCATTCTGAAAACTAAGCTCCCGTTGTTCCACTCGATCTTTCTCCCTATGGTTACTTATGGCGTGAGTAGTGGATCATGACTGGAAAACTTCGAACCCGGGTACAAGCTGCTGAAATGGGCTTTCTTAGACGAGTCGCTGGCCTTACGCGTCTCGACATGGTTCGGAATAATGACATCTGGAAGAACCTTGGTATATAGCCTTTGCTTCTTCAGATTGAGAAGTCACAGCTGCAATGGTTTGGCCATATGTTGAGAATACCTCCAGCAAGGAAGGCTAGGCAATAATTTCTATACAAACCGGCCGGTGGAAAACCCAGGGCGGTGAAGATTAAGTTGCTGCAAATGTATAGAAGAAAGCTGTTCCGCAGGCAGTTGTGTTCCGCCGAAGCTCAGCGTCTGGCACTGGATGTGGAACGCTAGAAATCTGGTGTGTCTGCCTCCAGGAATCAAAATTAGTAGCGGCCACGGAAGATGACGTGGAAGATGGAGTTGATGGAGATGAAGACGTACGCGCAATCTGATTGAAAATCGAAGTTATCTTGCTGAGGAACTTCAAATTTCTTAGAGTCTCTAAACGATTGTTGGCTGATGATGGATGAGACACGCTTGTTTATGTTGATTCTGTTACTGCCGTGTTTATATGGCAATTCTAGAGAATCCACGTCTGTCACTTCTGGGTATTTTCAACTCTGAATCGAACCTGCCTTAGCGTCGATGTGGATGATGTGCAACGCAACCTTGCTGTGCTAATATGTGCATGAATGCTGTGTGACGAGTCATCAGTGGCTAACACAAGCCGAAAGTAGCAATGTTTATTCTTCTTTATTGTATTTCATATGTATATGAAGATCATTGGTATTCAACATGCATATCATATTTTCAGCACAGTGCGTGAAATACCATTGGCGAATGACATTGTCAAGGTAATTCGTTACTTCCCGAATGCAATTTATGATGCTGTCAAGATTTGCATATAGATAATTTGTAACGTACTCTTTCCACTGTTCATTTCGCGAAAAATTGCTCTTCTTTTCAAAGGCGTCTAAATTTGCACCGACCAAATTAAGAATCACGTAACATGAATTCCAGTTCTGGGAGTGTATAAATGGCTGTTCATTTCGGTGATGTTTATAAGTAACCTTGTGTAAGGACTTGGTTACCGATTCTGATGGACCTTCTGCCTTCTTTGGAAGTAAATGTGCTATAAATAGTGACTGAACAGAAACGATATTGTACATAAAAATGTAGCTAATTGACACATAATAAAAGCTAGAAATGCCTTTAATTGATTTCGTAAAAGCTTTAAAAACTGTTGAATTTTTATTGGGTAATTAATTACAGATTAAATGCTTTAAATCAATTTTAAAATGTTTAATCTCACATTTAGGGGATAATATCATATGTTACTAATCATTAAAAAAAGATGCATTCAAGCAAAAATAGATATTCACTTGGTTGAAACATAGTAAATCACTTCTGCCAGTATCTTAGCTCTAGTTTGAAGAAGGTGGCATTGACATAAATGATATGATTATAATGATCTTTGATGAAAAAACTGACCAAAATATGGCGATCTCACTCAGCAAGAAGCCGCACCTATCTAAGACTTGCCAGATGCTCGGCTTATCTTAAGATACTCATGTGGAAGCTGGACTCTCAAGAAATCAAGGCACAAGTCCACTAAAGCCAAGAAAAATGGCATTTAAGGTGCATCATCAAAACAATTAA